CCCTGCCCCGCCCGCACCCGCCCACACCTGGCCTCACAGCCGGTGTACGTACACGCGACATACAAGTATACCGCGAATCAAACAAGCAGACCTGTTAATAAATTTCAGCCGCTTGGCGGCGTCCTTGTGTTGTTTGCCAGTCGTGGTGTAGTATATGAACACGCACCGCGTGTCGGAGAGGCGTGTAGGTATCGGAGAGAGGCAAGGGGGAGGGGGGTGATTACGGATGGGGCGAAATGAGGGGGAAAGGGGGGGGAAATGACTGCAAGATGCGCCAACGATGTGCAGGAATGCGTGCAGCAGCAGCAGCAGCGGGGTCCGGTCGGCGAGGAGCGGAGGAGAAGGGGAGGAGGAGACATTCCTGGTGGTGCGGGGCCCGGCCGCCGATACCACAGTGCCTTTGGTACCCCAAACATGGCACCGGTACCGACGGCGATGCCAATCGGTTCAGCGTGCCGTGCCGTGTGCGCCCGCTCTGTGTACCGGTCCGGCCGCTCGCGGCTCCGCTTGCTTATGGCCCCCTTCCGATGTACTACTCCGACCACTCCGACGTCGTAGACGTGGCAACTGGCGTTTCGCGATCAGCGTTCGCGGACCTTCTCCTGACTCTGACCCTCCGCACCGGGTCCCCCGCGGGCCGTGAGGCTGCTCTCGACTCATTATGGCGCCGGTGCTAAGACCGTGGCGCCGCGCCGCGCCGGGTGGAGCGGAGTGGAGGGGCACCCAGAGGCGCCACGTGGCGCGCGCGCACTGCAAACAGCATCTTGAAACAGAAGCAGGCGTGACCTCACCCGTGACTTTTCTCCGCGAGGCGTTCTAGAAATGCTACGTGAAAGTCTTGCCGTGAGCCCTCATTGCTCTCTGCTCCCGACATTTCCCTTCTTCTCTTCTCCTCCTCACTCTTCTTTGCCAGGCCGTCGTCGTACTTCTTCAGCGTTCCGCGGATGACACGGGACGGAGCCCCGGCCGGCATATCTCTCCATGTTTGGACAGCACGACCGTAGCCGGGCGGGCGTGCGGGCCGACGGCAGTGCTCCGAGACTGGCCCCGGCCCTTGTCCTGCGAGCACGTACTATACGCTGGCGTGGTTACTCTCGCAGAAAAAAAGGAATAGAAAGCAAAGAGAGCCAATCCGCGGCGACCGCGGCAGTGTACGCGGACTCCACCGCGAGGTTAATCTAAAACCCGACCGAATGAAGTGGTGGAAATGCAGATGCGAAAGGTACATCCAGCAGCGAGGCATAGCGGACTGCCCATCATGGCCGAGTCACAGGTCACGCGCGGCTGCGGCGATGGGGCAGCGGCGAGTGCCTCCCGAGTGTTTGCCAGTGCGGTTTCTCCTCCGCCTATGAGTCCCGCGGGCCCGGCTGGCCAGCCCCCCATTGATGCTCCAAATGAAAGGAGTGCAACGGGACGGCGGCCTCTTTCCCCGAACGCCCGCGCCGCATGCGACATGCGCGAGCCTCGGGAGTGCGGGCGGGATTGTCGTGGCCGTGGCAAAGAGCAGCTCGATGTCGATGTGCGCCGGCCGGCGCCGCACAAATTGGTGCGGCGCGCGCGCGCGGACTTCCCTGTCCTGTCCTCTCGGGCGCTTCTCGAACCGGTTCGAGGACCGACCGCCCCGTCCTCGCGACTCTCACGGCCTCGCGGGCTGCGCAGCGCGCGGGATGGAGCGGATGATCCCCGGGGGGCGGCGCGGCCGCGCTGCTCGCCGCCTCGTTTATTCAACACCTGATCCCAATCGCGCTCCGCCTCTGCTCATCCAGGCTGACGCTGCTGCCGAGGGCGGGGATCCTGGCGCGCCGCCAGGCAGGCCTGTGCTGCTGCTGCAGGATGCTGCAGGGCCTGCAGAGCCGCGAGCAGAGGATGGTCCTGCCTAATTGATTTGGGGGGGGAGGGGCTGGGTGCTGCGGGGGTGGGGCGTGGCGCGAATGGCGGGCGCGCACACTACTTTCCCCCCGCGCCACTCTGTCTGCTCTTCGTGTCGCGCGCCGGGAGGAGGGGCGCTAATCCCCCGGGCCGGCTCGGTGTGCGGCGTGGTGTGACACAGTGTGACATTGCCGTAGCATTGCACCGCCCGGCGCGCGGGCCGCGAGTTAGTGGCTCATTGTAACGCTGTTAGCCGCTCTCCGGCTCGGGGTGAACGGACTGCTAATCCTCTGTCTCATGTCTCTCTTTCTCGTGTGTTGCAGCGATGCGTGGCGCGCGCCCTCTACGACAACGTGGCCGAGAGCCCCGACGAGCTGGCCTTCCGGCGCGGCGACGTGCTCACCGTGCTGGAGCAGAACACCATGGGCCTGGAGGGCTGGTGGCTCTGCTCGCTGCGCGGCCGCCAGGGCATCTGCCCGGGCAACCGGCTGCGGCTGCTGGCCGGCGTCTACGACACGGGCTCGCCGGCGGGCTCCCCCGCGCCGCCCTCCGCCACCCCCACGGGCACGCCGACGGGCACCCCGACGGGCACGCCTGACCCCGTGCAGGGCAAGCGCCGGTCCTGGCACGTGCAGCCCAATAAGGTAAGAAAGACAAGTAAATCAAAAAGAGCCGCCCGGTAAGGGGTTCGAACCCTCGACCTTAGGATTAAAAGTCCCACGCTCTACCGACTGAGCTAACCGGGCTCATGGAGATGGGCCAGTGGTCCACCTTTCATATCTCGGGAAGAGAAATCGCCATCGCATGGGAAACGAGAACGTCCTCGTCACCAAAAGTAACCGCCCGGTAAGGGGTTCGAACCCTCGACCTTAGGATTAAAAGTCCCACGCTCTACCGACTGAGCTAACCGGGCTCCGATAAGGGCTGCACCCAGGGCTACGCACCGCACGGGCGAGGCGAGGGGACCGGCGGCCGGGACCAGGCCGCCGCCGCCGAGCCACCACTTCGTGCCTCCTCAGCGCCGAGCCCCGAGCCTCTGCCTCACGACCCGCGTGACGGACGCGACGGACGCGACACGGGCACCAGCGGGGTGTAATAATACTCGGTCGCGAGGATATTTCTCTCAATAATTGACGGTCTGTCTGTCCGTGCGCGGCCGTCGTGGGAGGCGGTAAAGAGCGGGCGGGGCGGGGCCGGCTAGAGCGAGGGACAGGGTAAGGGGAAGCGGGCTTTATTTGGCGTCGAGAGTAATGAGCTCCAAACGAGTCTCTGGGCTCCTCGGCGCGGAACTCACTGCCAGACCGGCAGCCACTGCTCGTTTCGTGAGATAGCAGCTAAAAAGCCACTGCTTCTATCATCTTACCTGACGCCGAAATGACGTGACGTCAATCCGTCCGTAAAAATTTGACACCGCGTCGAATCATTGTTCTTGATCCGCGCTGCCGCCGTGTGGTTTCACTGCTTCGAGGAAAGAGGGGGGGGGGGCTTCCCTCCTCCATGGCTCTGTCAGACGGGAGACTTAGTTCCGGCTGCTTAGAGCGGAGAGGAGGGCGAGGAGCGGGTCACGACGTCGCCGAGGAGGGGTGGGGGTGGGGGCGTGCTCCGTGTTCCATGAGCACCGCGGCGACGAAAGGGCGCAGCGTGTCGAGCCTCGGCCGCGCCATTCAGATGGAAAAGGAACACCTGGACCAAAACGGTACTGCGGCCGCGAGGCCTCGCTTCCTCGGGGGCCCCGCGTGATGCCATCGTCTTGCATTGCGCAAGCGAGGGGGCAGGAGGAGGAGGAGTCCGAGCGGTCCAGAGCCCAGGAGCATGCGACGAGGAGCGTCCGTGACCCGCGTTTTTCAATATATTTTTTTCTTTGATTTATTTTTTTATTTTTCGCGGTGGGTCCTCTCTTTGGTTGCTGGCCTAGGGCTGGCCCGTCCGGTCTCCGCTGAGAACTCTGCGAGGCTGATCGACATAAATCCGATGCGAACAATTGGAGAGGCAAGGCGATAAATCATGTTCGAGTGTTCCGAGTGTCCGTGCGGCGCCGCGACGCCGAGCCTGCGCACGACATGACGCCGCGACGCCCGACGGCATGGCGCCCGCATGATGGTGTCGTGGCGTATGGCTCCGGCGTCGGAGACTCTCTGGCCTTCGAGGGCCGAGTGCCTAGCTCTCGGTGCAGAGAGATCTCTCGACACTGTAGCCTATGGGCGATCTGGCCGCTGACCAGGGTTACCAGGGTCTGTACCGGTACCACTACAACGTACCCACCGGTACCTGACCTGGCGGTACCGATGCTGCGCGGCCGCGTCCAGGCCGGCAGGCCTTGCCAGCCATACGAGGAACTCGCTCTCCAGACGGCATTGGCAAATATAGGCAGGTGGCGCGGGGCGGCGCGGGGGGCGCGGGGGTGGTGCAGTTCAGGAGAAACAACAAATCCCCGTCAGCTCGGCGGCTTCGCGTCCATTGCTCCAGCCCGCCTGTGTACCGCCCGCGTGGCCGTGGACCCGGGACGGGGCAGCAGGCGGGGCGCGGCGTGGGCGCGCGTGGGACCTGGGACACCAACAACGCCGCGCGGTGCCACCGCGCCGCCTCGACTCCAGCTCCAGGAAAGCTGCATGAGTATGACGGGCGCACACGCTCACTCACCATGCGCTCACCCACCGCGGCACCTGGGCCTGGCGCGACAATGTGCGCCTCCACAGCAAACAAGACTAAGCCCGCACCGCTTTTTGAAGTTGAAGTTGAAGCACCGCGCCCTTTCTCTTCCGCGAACACTGCGCGCTCAATGGCCCCGCCCGCGGCCCCGTCTGTCAACGGTGACCATGCGGCCGGTATACTTCCCATGAGGAGCATGGTGACCGTTTGGACCCAGGGTAGGGGTCACGAGAAGGCCCCCAGGAAGTCCCCCCCCCCC